GTTCCATTTAGTTGATTAAAAAAAACTAAACGTTCCATTTAGTTGATTAAAAAAACCCACTAAATGTTCCATTTAGTTGATAAAAAACATTAACCGTTCCATTTATTTGATTAAAAAAAAACACTAAATGTTCCATTTAACTGATAAAAACAATAAATGTTCCATCTTCAGGTGCAAATTTTTAAACTGGAGTTTAAAACCAGTTTTACTTTTTAGTCCTACATTTTGGTTCCACTTTTGAGTTTGTGAATCTTTCACAACCAGAAGAGAATTTAGCCTTCAGGAAACAAACCTGCTGCCCCGCCCCCTCTGCTGTGGCCCGCCTCTTTTTACTAACACCTGTCAGTCAAACTGCAGCTGTCCTGCTCTGCATGCTGAAACATAACCAAAGTGTTCCAGTTTTACACTCAAGTGGACCAAACACTGTCTCTGATCAGGAACCCGGCTCGCATCGGCCCACCAGGAGGACCACCTGCTGCTGAACCAGCGCCGAAAGAGGTCTTTACCAGGACCAGGGTCAGACCGGAAACGTCCTAGAACAGCTGGGCCATCTGTGTGAAAAACCTGTTTGTTTGTTTGTTTGTTTGGTCAGGTTTGACACCTGTGATTTATTAGAAACACGCCTTTAGGTGTTTGTTGACATGGCAGGGAGGAGGCGGAGCTTCTGGGGGATGAAGAAAGTTGGGACTAAAACCTGTGAGCCTGTAAGATATTGACTTTAAACTTACAGCCTTCTCTGTGTATCTCATAACTAATATTTATCAGTTTGCCTTCATTCTGTCGCAGCCCATTTACCAAACGGTGGAAAAAGCCACGGCTGTGGACTTTATTTCATGTTTTATTTTGAAAAATCTACATCTGTGGGTTTTACTTCATGTTTTATTTTGAAAAATCCACGCCTGTCAACTTTACTTCATGTTTTATTTTGAAAAATCCACGTCTGTGGACTTTACTTCATGTTTTATTTTGAAAAATCCACATCTGTGGATTTTACTTGATGCTTTATTTTGAAAAATCTGTGTCTGTTGACTTCACTTCTTGTTTTATTTTGAAAAATACATGTCTATGGACTTTACTTCATGTTTTATTTTGAAAAATCCATTCCTGTGGACTTTATTTACTTCATGTTTTATTTTGAAAAACCCACATCTGTGGACTTTACTTCCTTCATGTTTTAGTTTAAATCAGATGTTTCATATTGTCAGCTCCAGGGACTGATTTTCTTATTTATTTCTGAAAACAGAAGAGGCATTTTTCAATAAAACTACTGAAAATCTCAACCTGAGTGGGACTCTGATTGTGTGTGTGTGTGTGTGTGTGTGTGGAGGGGGGGGGTCCAGGAGCCGCCCATGCAGCTGAAGGTCAGTCGCAGATCACCATGGTAACAGAGGCTGAATTGATAAAGCTATATTTAAAAAAAACTTTACTTCCTGTTTGGAAGTGAAAACTGAGTATGGATGCAATGGAAGTTAATGGGATTTTGAGAGACCACATTCCCCATTTTCCTGGACAGTGGACCCCAAGTCCTTGAAGTCCTGCACCTTTGTGACTTTCATTCCTCTTCTTTCCAGTGCATACCTCCACCTCTCCAAGTTCTTGTCCACCTGTTCCCTGTTCTCACCACAGATCATAATTACCACTTTGCCAGTGGTAAGTGTGGTTCCACCAGGATCTCCTCAGTTCTTCTCAGAGTCAAAGATTCTTTATTGTTGTTCGCACCTCATGAGGTACATGTGGTGGAATGAAATTATGTTCACAGGGTCCCAGTTACATCCAACAATAAAATGTAAAAGAAAAACAGTAATAACATCTAAGATATGAACTAAGAAAAACATCAACTAAAAATACACTAAGCACTGATAGTATAAAAACAATACGTCGAACAGCAGCACGAACATGAGTCTGTGTGAGCAGATGAGCACTCATGAACACATCAACATGAAACAGATCAGCAGCAACATGAAACTGATCAGCAGCAACATGAAACAGATCAGCAGCAACAGGTTCTCAGGTTGATGTGATTTGCCACTGTAACTTGTTTTCCCACTCTGTGTGCGGAATCGTAACAGGTTGTGTTTGAGCCACTCAACCCGTGGTCCTTCATTGACTTTCAATTGGACTTCAACTTTTTTGGTTTATCCCAGCACTGCTTATCAGTCCAGGTGTAGCCATGCTGCCACTACCATCATCTCTGTTAATTCTCCACCTTTCTCAGTCTCTCTTTCGCTCTCGACGGAGACAGTCGCTCTTACCCTCTCTCCCTCTCTCTTGCTTTTTTGCTTTCTTGTCCCGTCAACCTCAGAGCCTCTCTTTACACATCTTCCGAATCTAAAATTATTTTGGATTTAGTCAGCTGGTCCCTCAACGCAATTGATAAAAAATATTCCACCAGACGACAGGGTACTGGAGAGCCCTCATGCCCTGAACGGACCAACACAACTAAATATGTGAGCCAGGAACCAGTTTTTAGGATTTCATTTTGACGACAGACAGCAGGAATGGTTCAAATGTTGATTAAAGCGCAGCTGCTGGTGGAGCTCAGAGTCCCAGGGCCAGGCCAATCCTCAGTGTCAGGTAAGGGAGGTGCTCCTTGAGGGATTTGAAGAGGATGACGTCACCAGCAGTGAAGACTGGGAGGCAGAAAAGCAGTGCTGAGAAGAGCCTAGATTTAGGGGTCATCCAACAGGGAGATCCAGAGAAACAGGCGAGGATCAAACATAGAAGATCAGAAGCCCAAAGCCGAGTCCGAAACGTAATCCTTAATACGTGGTCGAGGAAGCAGAGGTCATTACCGTTGGCAGAGAGTACAATCCAGAACAAACAAAGAGGAAGCAAGGCGAGGAATCCGTGAGACAGGTATGAGGTCAAAACCAGGCAGACAAACAAAACTGTGGGCTGAACACTTGACATCTACTGACCCAAAGGAGTTCAACAATCTCACACTGAAAGAATGTGAGAATGGAGCTTAAGTACTGGTGTGTACTGGTGAACGGCATAAAGACTGATTATGGTGAATCAGCCGAGTGGGTGTGGTAGTTGGTGTGGTTGACAGGAGCACAGAGACGTGATATGAGCAGGATAATCAAACAGGAGCTACGGCACGTGGAGCAGAAATGTGACAGTCCCACCCCTAAGGTCCGGCTCCTGATGGACCTCCAGTCTGGTCAGGCTGGGAACTATGGAAGTCACGGATGAGGGACTTGTCAAGAATGTGGTGGGCGGGGACTAGGGGTTGAACGACTACATAATTTTTAAACTCGACATTAACATAATAAAACTCGAGTCGAACTCGAGTACTTGATGACATCATAGGATCTAAAGATACAAAAATAAATAAATAAAACCGCAGAAAAGGTCATTATTTACAAAAAAAGACCAACAAAAAATTGGGAGCGTATATTTTGCTCCTCCCATTTATCATACAGCAAATAAGTCAGAGGAAAAACTAAACTATTAGTTTTTATTATTAAGCTGCAAACGTGAAGAAACGTGCAGCACGTCAAAACCAAAACTAAAAACAGTGGGGGGTCGACCACCCCGCCCCGCCGCTAGCTGTGGTTAGGGCAGTAACAGAGTACTCGAGTAATCTACACATCGATTGCCAGGACATCTATCGAGGTTAAAAATGTAACGTCGAGTATCCGTAGTGACGTCATATTATGTGACCACCGTATGACTATAGGGGGCGGTGTTGCACTGGTCACAGAGTATGGTGTAACACCGGGTCCAATCCACCGAACCAGAACCAGTTTTGGTTTAAGTTTCGTTTTTGACGTGCTGCATGTTTCTTCACGTTTGCAGCTTAATAATAAAAACTAACAGTTTAGTTTTTCCTGTGACTTATTTGCAGTTTGATAAATGGGAGGAGCATAATATACGCTCCCAATGTTTTGTTGGTCTTTTTTTTGTAAATAATTACCTTTTTTTGCGGTTTTATTTATTTATTTATTTTTGTATTTTGAGATCTATGACGTCATCAAATACTCGAGTTCTACTCGGGTTTTATTATTTTAATGTCGAGTTTAAAAATTATATACTCGTTCAACCCCTAGCTGTGGTGCGCATTAAGTTTAGTTTTAGAGATTAATATGTTTATAGGTTTTTATAGGTTTAGAGATTAATATGTTTTGCTTTTTGTTTGTGAAACAAGGTCAGAGGAAGCTGGTTCTGGTTCGGTCGATAGGACCCGGTGTTACACCATACTCTGTGACTGCAACAGTGCATGCAACACCGCCCCCTACGGTCACAGAATATGGTGTAACACCGGTTCGCAACGAGCTCCAAAGAGTCAGGAAGTCTATTCATGTTCTGTTTCCTGACGGTAGTTGAACCAGAAGATTCATCTTTAGAGAAATATTTCCTTATTATTGATGCATTTCTACCTGTTTGCCAAGACTGGGTCTGCTCTGCTCCATCCGTCTGCTGGGAGGATCCATTTTGTAACCTGCGCCCGGTGCGGCTCACGAGACACGTGACGCGATGACGTAACGGTGGCATAATGACGTCACCACGAATACTCGACATGAAATTAAAAACCTCGATAGGTGTCCTAGGAATCGATGTGTAGATTACTCGAGTAGTCTGTTAAAGTCCTAGCGGGGACCCATGAGCGCTCCTCAGGCCCCTAGCCCTCCCAGTCCACCAGGTAGTGGTAACCCTGACCCTACCATCTGGAACAGAGCAGCCTCATGATGGTGAAGGCCGGGGACCCATGGATTAGTCGGGCGGGAGGAGGGAGCCCGGAGGAAGGCCCAAAGCATGATGAAACTAAGGGAGTGATCCTGGAGACGTGGAAGGTTGGGTGGACCTTGAGGGATCAAGGCAGTTGGAGGTGAACCGCCACCTGGTTGATCACCTTGGCTATTGGAAAAGGACCCACAAAGAGAGGTACCAATTTTTGACAATCCACCCTGAGTGGAAGGTCCTTAGTGGAGAGCCAGACCTTCTGGTCCACATGGTAGGGGGGGAGTTCTGGGAGTGACATCAGTTAGTACCCCTAATGTAGACAGTGGAAGACTTGATGAGAGCCCTTCTAGCTCTCCTCCAGATACGTTGGCACCCAAGAGCTGCTCGGTGGACAGATGGGACTTGAGCCTCTCTCCCCTGGATTGAGAACAATGGTGGTTAAAAACCATAAACAACAGCATAGAAGGGGACAGACCTGAAGCAGCTGAAGGCAGTGAGTTGATGGCGTGCTCGACCCAGGGTAGATTAGCTGCCCACTTGGTTGGATCCCCCTAAACTAAACTAAACAGCCACTGGCCAAAAGGATGGACCAGCACAGAAGATCAACATCATCAGGCCAGGACTCTGAGGTCTACACTCATCTCCAGGTCAGAGGTCACTCTTTCAGGGATGAAGATGTTCACATCCTGGACAGAGAGGAACGATGGTTTGAGAGAGGAGTAAAGGAGGCCATCTTTGTGAAAAGAAACCGTCCATCATTAAACAGGGGTGGAGCCTCCAGGTTCAACTGTCCCCCTCTTACAATGCTGTGATTGCTAGTATCACTCAGCCCTCTGTGAACAGTAAACAGCCATCAGGTGCTAATGATCCATTGTTAGGCTGATGGTCCTTCTTGAGCATGTGATCAGCTGGTTCTGGTTGTCAGCAGCAAACTGGTTGATCCACTCTGAGAAGGTGCTATTTAAGAGACTGAGCTGAATACAGCACCTCAGACTGAGGAAGTCTCTTGGATGAGAGATGAAACGTTTCTAGATTTTTTGTTGTTTTGCTTTGTTTTTGTTTTTTGAATGTCCAGAGGACCAGATTGAACTTTTTTGGATTTTTCTAC